ACCAGTGCTGAACTACTCAACTTGAATGTGGTCAGAAATGCTAGCACAAGTGTTGGTAACACCTTTGTGCACTATAGTCTTTATGTTATGCAAATTTTTAAGAATACCTTTCTTGGAGATCGGACGATCACTAACTGTAGCACAGTTTGAGAATCGCCACTCGATGGTTGAGAACAGTAAAGCACATCTTTTTTAACTCGTTACTCACTATAAAAGTACCACAGGTTACATGTGTCCATATGCTGTGTTTCTCTGTTTGCGCTGTCTGAGCTGCATGACAAGAAGTGCTAGATCAGAGTCTATCAGTTACTCATCCTAGAGCTTGTTAATCATGGTATCCATCGAATAATAGAATCTCCTATTGTATGGCTTAACATTGTTATGCCAGAAATTGTTTCAACTCCCACATGATGCTTATGATCAGGACATATAACTCTATGTGCATGGGCGAGTCAAAGTGCGCATGTCACAATCTTTACATTCCAAATTAAATTAAACAACTTTATTATCAATGTATGTCAGTATACTTGACATCAAAACGGAGGTTATAATTTTAATTTGATGAGAAAATATTTAAATAAAATCACAATCTTCACTTCTCTCCAAATTGCCCATTTTGGATTTTTTTACTCATTTTGAATTTGACACGAACACACTTATAAATATTGCTAATCCATGATATAAGTTTACAGCCTCCAAGCTTCTTGCTTTACTGAGATATAAAGAAAGTCAAATCCCCATGCCACACCTCTCATTTTTTTCATCATTTCAAAAAATGTCAATAATTCTAACAGACATTTGATTATTTATAACCAGTAGAATTAAAAGATTCTGCTCTACAAGTCTACAAGTCTAGTTCATGCAGGTGCCAGGTTTGGAAATTTAGCCTCATTTTCATTATATGACTTTGTAGTGTTTGGCTCGACCTTCTAACAGAATATTTTTAACCTATTTATAGCTTGGCCAGGTGGTTAGGGCACTCGACTCGCAATCTGAGGGTCGCGGGTTCGAATCCCCGTCCCACCAAACATGCTCGCCCTTTCAGCCGTGGGGGCGTTATAATGTGACGGTCAATCCCACTATTCGTTGGTTA